TCGGGGAACCAAGCTAGAGCGTGCGCAGTATTTTTTTTTTTTTTGGTTAAAACGAAGCCGCAGTTTTCCCTTGATAATTTGTGGCAATATTGAAGCAAAAATATTATATTATGATCAAAATATATCTACGCACATTTACAAAAAAAAAAAAAATATATATATATATATATATCTACGTGCATTTAGACATATTATCGAAATGATGTTTACCAAAGCGTTGCTTCTTCGTAAAATTTTTCTATGTCTCTGTACAGTTTTTCTGGAATTAGGGTTTTTTCTGAATAGGTACTTTTGATCTACAAGCATGATTCTCTCTTCACACACACACACACACACACACATATATATATATATATATATATTCCATCTGTAAATATATATATATATATATATATATATTTGCATATACTGTGACAGCAATAATGTTTATATATTATTTAAAAAAAATTGGGAGTGCAAGCCATCGAAAAAGTTTTGGAGGATTTGACACCCTGAAAAGCTAAAACAGTACAATAACGAAATTATATGCTTCAAATGCGACACACTTAATTATTCTGTGTGATATTGGCGTAAAGTATATAGCTGTACAAATATACCTACGTTTTTATTCCAAATCTTGGTAACAAAAAAAAAACTGTTTCTTTTTTTATACACCACGATATTTTTTAAATGTTGTTCAATTATAAACCGAAATCTTTAAATCTTACATATTCATATTAATCTCTGTTCGTCTCTTGATCAACAAACTAAAAATAAATGATTGATCCAAAATATTATTCTATTTTCATGGCGGGATTCGAACCTTTGATCTTTGGTTAAGAGACAAACATGTTGAATTACTCAAGTGGGTGGTCTAACGGTTAGATTGCACAAAGTGCTCCAACCCATATTCAAATCTCATTTGGAGGCAAATATTATCGAAAAAAAAATTAACAAAAAACTATTACAAAAAAAAAAAAAAACATGTTAGAATTATCTATACCAATCATTTAGGTTAAAAAACTGTATTGATTTGAAGAATAAGAGTTGGGGTAATAATTAAGATGGATATAGTAATAACTAAGTCATGATAATTTATTTAATGTTTTTTTGTTTCAAATCGACAGTTTATCGTTATGGATTTATTTATAATCGAATCATTATTAATTAGGACATAATTTTATAACACATTTAAACCATTAGATTTTTGCATAGCACCTTGTCTTAAAAATATTAATTAGACTTAAAATTAAATCGCCTTTAAAAAAATTAAATAACAAAAGATTTATTCCCTCTTTTTAATATTGTGTATGTCGTTTTAGAATATTTTTTTTGTTTCAAAATAAATGACTTTTTTAGATTTCGTGCAATTTTTTTTTTGTATTTTTTTTTTCCAAATTTACCTTTTATTAATAATAATTAAATATTTCAAAATAATAATTCTCTACACAATAAATAAGGGCATTTTGTGCAAAACATTCTTTTTATTAATGTGTGTATTTAAATCTAAACCGCCACGTAAAATTAAAGAGGAGAGGAGTATATATTACCATTAATAAAACGTGTTTGAAATTCACAATTACTCAATTAAAAGTCATATAAATTTGGAATTGTCATGGTGATTATGTATATATTTATCTTTTTTGGTAAAGGTTATGCATATATTTTATTAAAACAATTAAAATTTATCATCAATTTCCTTTTTGCGGACAGAAACAAAAGGCTTTGATTAATCAAAAGTCGAAGGGTAAGCATACGTAACCCATCTTGCCATCATTTGCAGATGTTCCTCTTTTTTCTTTTTTTCTTTTTCTTAAATCCATTCCCCATTGAGATATAGATCCTCTCGCAAATCGGTATCAACTCAAAAGATAATTCTGCGGTCATATATCGTTTTGTATTATATCGGTTTGGTTTGGCCTATTTGATAATTAAAAAAAAATTCAATATTTTTGTTTCAGAAATCTATCTACCTCTTAAGAAAGGTCGGATTACATTTGGATTAATTATTAAAAATGCAACGATATTCTCAATTTAAATATAATTTATTAAACCCGGTAATTATCATACTCTTGTGCAATTTTAGTATTTCAGAAAATGTTGGGCTTAGTAGAATGAAAACGGAAGAGTTTACAATAAATAAATAAGTAAACAATAATAAAAATAATAATAACAATACTATAAACTCAGCCATGCAACCCTAATCACTCCTTTTTTGGAGGGCCAATAAAAAGGCTTATCCTTTTTTTTTTGGCGTCGAAGAAATCTTATCCTTTTACATTCTTTACTACCAAATATTATTCTATATATCTTTCTTTTAGGGTTAGTAGAGTCCCTAAAGCTAGAAATTCCGATGGGAATCTGATTCAACGAACAGTAAAAAAAATGGAATTAAAAAAATGAGCAAGTTATTATTGATTTTTGTAAAAAAAAAAAGAAAAGAAAAAGAAGCACAGTACTACTAATACAGGAGCCAGTTATTGAATTATTTGTTATGGTTTTTTAACCTATGCTGTAATTAAAAAAAAAAATGAATATCTACTGAATTTAATTTTAATTACGGTGGATTTATGGTATAGGGAATATGAAATTTTGGTCTCATATATAATTATATTATATTTTATCAGTTTTGGAATTATTATTGATAAAAATAATAAAAGGATTATTTTTCATTTGTTTTTGCATCGTAATCTAGAATTATTTTTAAAGTATATTTATAAACAATAAATATGTTTTCTAGTCATAAAAAATTTCTAAATCTATTTGTAATTATAATATTTTTATTTTCTAAGAATTTTTAACTTTTCCTAGGGGAGCAAAAATCAGAATAGAATTGCTGCTAGGTGAAAAAAAAAGGAAAAGAATGGAATTTTTGTTTTATTTTGGTGCCCTTGGGAACGTGTCGTTCGCTCGTTTGATGTTTAAGATATTGGGTGAGATTTTGTCTCTCTTTCCTAAAGAAAGTCTTCGTTGAATATCATAACGTGCTTCAAATCGTTGAAAGTTTTTCTCATTTTTTTTTAGAAAAAATATAAATCGTTTA